ACAAAAAGACAATAACAAGTTACTGGACTGACAGGTAAAGCATTTACTGGTGCAACTTCAAAATGTATACAATAAACTACAAGATGAATATGAAAACGTTATTATAGAAAACGTTATTATAGAAAATAGTTATACTTGAAAATGTTATACGGTTGCACTTACAAGTAAGACGATATTTTTAAGTGTTTGCATTTGATTATATTTCTTCTTGTTAATAAAGCCAATAAGCTTCAACAAAAAACATCTTAATCTTGATAAGTAATAATAATTTATTATATATTATATATATGATATATCGCATACTCTATTAAAATATGTATGTTATACATACCGAAAAAAAATAATGATTTACGATAAAAGACATTTAAATCGAATATAAAAAGTAAAATTGCGGATTATTACAATAACTAACAAGAAGCGGTAAAAACCAATTATAATTGAGTTAAGAAAATATAAAATTTTTAATAAATATGCTTGAAGTATTTTGAGATATCATAAAATATAAAGTTATATAAATTACTTTCTTTAGTATTTGGTATTTGCAGTGTATTTACTCCTATTACTGCTGAATTTTTATTGACTACATCTAATATCGTTTTGCCGATAAATGCATCTCAAGCACATCGAATGCAATTCATAAGGGAATACTTTATCGATCAGGAAAAATATTTCTCTTTATTTCTATTACATATAAACGCAGCATTTTGCATAGGATTGTTTGCAATAATAGGGATAGGAACAATGTTGTTTGTATATTTTCAATTTACATGTGGAATGTTTAAAATTTCCAGGTATGAAACAAAAATATAGACATGGTCATAAAAATTCAAATCATAAATAGTACAATTATATTATTATTATCGAATTCTGTTTATCATTTCAAAGAATTGTTATATTTTAAAAGTCTAAAAATAGTTTATTTTTTAAAAACAAAAAAATAATATCTTTCGATATTATTTATAGTTATCGTATTGAACGCGCAATGAAAATCAATATGCTGGAAAAATATTACTACGAAAAATGAGAAATTCATATTCGAAGGAATAATTTGTGCTATAGATATTCATCGGCAAGCTATGAAGTTAGTATGTAAACATTTTAGCATAAATTATATGTTTTAAGATTATATCACATTGGTCTTAAACTTTCTGACGGTAGTGTACGTTACTTATATTATTTAAAAACTAAAAAATTCTTTACTTTTGTGCATGTGGTTTAGATAAAAGTTTCGTTGTCAAGTAAAACATAATAAATAAAAACAATTTAATCTAAAATATTGGTTTGTTAAGTTTTTGCAAAAGATTTTCAAAGGAAATAATATATGTACTGCATTATTTAAATATGTAAAATGTAAATTTAAATATTATATTATGACTTTAATGTAAAATCTTCCAGTTATGTCATTAAAATAATTTAATTCATTTATATTAGTATATACTGTTTTTTAAACTTTCTGATCATAAATGACATAAACGATGTTTATGAAGACTTACAAGACGGCACAAAGCAAAATCACTTCTATGACATTATCTGCTGATGATTTACAGCAATGCGAATTTAATAGAAAATATGTAATATATTTAAAATTGATAGTTAATTCTATCAAAAATCATACATATTATATACATATATATATACATATATATATATATATATATATATATATATATAAAAGTAAGTAAATGAAGTTATGGCAACAAAAACAACAGAATGCGCTAGCGTGGCACTTATGTAGATATTTTTTCACGAATGTCCTTTTTTCTTCATTTTTGTGGGAAAAAGACACTTGTTGAATTTTTCCTTATGTATCGATCGCTTAATCGTAGACTTCTTTAAGAAAAATATTGCAAAATTACAAATGTTTGAATTTCTTTATAATGATCTTTAATGTTTAATGTAAAAGTAACGTTAAGTTTAATAGTAAAATTTACGCTAAAAGAAGGAATATTCAATCAATCGATCAAAAAGTGGGGATGGACAGAATGTTCCCCATTTTTTCGCAGTCATATGTGTTCCTACCCTCGAAGAGATGACTTGCGTAAAGGATCGATACTTTAGTCTCAATCGAATTCTCATGCTCGCTACTGGTTTGTGGCCTTATGAACAATCCAAATTTATTCGATTGCAATTGACTTTGTATTACGGAATTCTGGGAAGTTTTATTGCATTTCAGGTAAATAAATGCATAGTATTTAATAGATTTTTTTATAAAAAACATTCTTATTTATTAATAACAATAATACAATAATAATTAATAAGTTACTACATTGTTATTAATAGCAATCTAATATATTTAAATTTATTTATAATTATACAAATATAATTATATAAAGTCATATATTGTTGTTATATAATTATTATAACGTACGTATAGTTAGATTTTGTACTTTATGTTCAATGTATAATTGTACGTAAGAAAAACAAATAATAATTAAAATCTTTCTATTTGGTGACAAAATAGTGATATTATTTTTACAAATAATTCAACAAAATCATTTTCCATAGTTTACAACATTAACGACCTCAAAATATGATTTGCAATTAATCATTGAAATTCTATCTGTTACATTCTTTTTTAATCTCTTCTTGATATCGTACCTCTCGTTCACCTTTAACATGGATATTGTAAGCGATAAGAAATATCTCTCATTTAAATAAATGCATGTTGTACTGTCTAAATTTCTTGGAATAAATTCTCACTCTAAAATAGTTAAAATACTGCCACTATTAAGAAAGAATGAAAGATTTGCATTCTTGAAGAGTGGCTAATTTTCACTTGAGTGAGATTCACTTAGAAAAAAAAAAGAAGTGAGATTACTTTTCTTTACAGTAAATTTGAAAAAAAAAAAGATTAAAAATCTGCCACTCTTATTCAAGAGGCCAAATTTTTCACTCTTTTTCTTTTAGTGGCAGTATTCTAATTCATTTTGAGATTTTACTCCAAGACATTTAGAGAGTATATTACATCGGCCTATATCAACTTCCACATAACAAGTAGCACAGAAAATCATTGACAGGTAAAACATTTATTAGAACTTCTCCAAGATACCTACGATGAGCTAAAAGACGAAGATGAAATTGCCATTATAGAAAAGTATTGGAACATCGCAAAACGTTATACTGAAATACTTACGCGTAAGATAATCTCTGTTTTCATTACTCATTACTTACAGGAAATATGCAGGTTTTATATAAAAATTAAAATAATATTTTTATTGAATAATCTATTTGCGATTGTATACAGTATTGTGTTTCGTAATTATAAACGGTAAAAGCTGATTTTTTTTTTAAGTAATTAACTAATCAATAATAATGCAATGGACACGTACACATGGTGATATTACATTAAATTATATCACACGTATATATTACTTTGTTACCATCTGAAATTTGTGCAGTCTTCTCATGTGTAACTATCCTTAACATATAAAAGGAGAACGTAAATGAAAAACACTTTTATAGAAAATGTCATATCAATCAAATATTCTCGAAATCAAAATACCTTTCTATTTACAATCTTTAATCTATATTTAGTATACTTTAAGAAGTTCATTTATATGCACAAAACATGAAATAGCAATATATAGCTGTACATCAGGTGATATCGTAAACATATATATTAAGGGAAATTAAAATAAAATAAATTTAAAATGTATAATAGTATTAAATGTATAATAGTATTTAAAAATATCAAAAAATTAATTTTTTATGATTGTTTTCAAATCATTGTTTAGTGTTCTTTATCTTGGCCGATATTTCGTTCATCTTTTCACCATTTTTGCCACATATAATCGATACTATGTTCTCTGTAAACGAATCCCAGCTACAGCCATCATTAAAAATCGTCACAGAATACTTCTTCAATCAAAAAAGATACTTTTATTTAATTACACTGCATGCAGATGTAGCATTCTTTGTAGGATCACTTACAATGCTAGCGACGGGAACAATGCTTTTAACGTATATGCAACATGTCTGCGGAATGTTAAAAATTGCCAGGTAAGAAAATTAATGTGATAATGATTCTATCAGAAGAATCCCGCACTAATTACATGATAAATTAGGTCTCGATAAAATAAGATAGTTTTCACATATGATGTAATTTATAATGTGGTGAACAAAATACAATTTATCATAAATACAAAGCTAGAAAATAAATAATTTATGAGCTGTGGTACATAAATGTAAATCTATGGTACACATCATAGCTCAAAAACTATTTAATATTGAGTTTTAAGTTTATAACATCTTATGTTTATCATGTTATAAGCTATATTACATGTAAAACCTCATTTTATCGAGAATTTTCCTAATTTTCCATAATACAAAATCTTTTATATTGTAAATAATAAAATATTTGCTTTGTCGCATTCAATCAGTACGAAACTACTTGGTTTTATTTCAAAATTATTATATGTATTAATTATATGTCCATATATTATGCAAACACAAATTATTGTACAATTATACAATATTATACAATTACATATATATACATATATATATATACACATATATTATATATAAATTATTTATTACAGTTATCGTATGGAGCAAGCTATGATAATTGGTATTAGACGAATGAATGGCAAAAAAAATGCAAATTTAATTTGTAAGGGCATAATTTGTGCCATAGACATACATCGCAAAGCTTTGAAGTATAGTATTATTAAATCTATAAATTAATTTTAAATAAATTATATTCAATTTGATATGTAAACTTTTCTTCAAAAACTTTAGTTTAAAAATTTATAATTATATTTATTGTAATTTGAACATTAATATTTAATGTCGGAAAAAAGATAATTAAGAAACAAATAATAAAATGCTAATATCAGTTTCAAATTGGAACTTATTCGGAAATAATCACAAGGAATTCATCTTTAAATTTATTTCTATATTACGACATATATTTTACCATATATACACAACTACTAATATTTTTTCCTTGAAGGATTGTTCAAATTTTTGAATCATCATTTAATACGACATTTTTTGTTATGATATTAAACGGAATAATTTTTGCGAGCCTTAATCTTTATCGAGTAAGTTTGAACTTTTATTTTTTTAAGTAGTATAAAGTATACTTTTGAATAAATAGCTCACATTCCAGATTTTTCGAGAAATATCATCTGGATATATTGGCGAAAAAGTAATACAGTGCTTCATAATATTGAATATTCATTATATATACACATTCCTTTCCACCAATATTGCGCAACAAATTATAGATCATAATAATAGCATATTTGTTACAGTGTAAGAAATATTCTTATGTGATATGTAAAAGTTAAAATTTTTGCAATACAAGTTGGAGTTAATAGATACAAAAGATAATACAAAATTTGTAGCAAAAGCTGAAATAGTTCATAAAACAACTATACATTATATGTATACTATACATATATATTTACGAAATAATTAAAAATATCTATGAATTATATTATCATTATAATATTATCGATAGTGATTGTGTTTAATCGTCATTTCATAGATACAATGGTTACTGGTATGTAGTTCCCTTACATGTACAGAAGCTAATATTGTTCCTATTGCAAAGAGGCACTAAAACTTTTAAGATAATGATTGGTGGATTATTTGTGGGTTCCTTAGAAGGCTTCGCCACGGTAAAAATTGAATCAGAATTTATTCGATAATATATTTCAAACATTTGAAGAAAATATTTTTTATTGCAGCTAGTCAGCGCGTCATTTTCTTACTTCACATTTATTTATTATACAAATCAATAACGTACTATAACACTGTATAATCTTTAAACAGATTATAAATATATAAAGAATTTTTATAATGATAATGTTGCAATGTATTATATGGATATTAAATGGAATAGAACTTGGACTATTACATTAATGGAAAAAGGAATACAGATAAATAAAATTGTTTAAAATTATTTTCTATAATCCTTATTATTTTACTTATTGTAATGTGCATGTGATACATTAAAGCTTAAAAATATTCAAAAATTTATAACGTATTGCGTATTGTTATTGCATTAAATTTAAATACATTCTTTTGACAGCATAAGTGGTGCAAAGTTACAAGACTTAAAAAAAAATAAACATAAAAATTTTATTTAAATACATTGTGAAATTTACTAACTTGAATTTGATATGCCAATATCATTTAACGATGCTTAGGCAATTCATACGAGTGTACATAGACTAAAATAAGTGGAAATGAAGTATTATGAATTGCGACTGCGCGACTTTTGCACGAAAGAAGTCGTTTATACGAACACATTTCTCTATAAGAAAAGATCAATCGTTAAAATGCTTTTAGTGTGAAATTAATCATTTACTTTATCAGTGTTCCATTAATTTATTTATGAACATTCTCTCAAGAAAATTTCTTAAATTACGCGGATCTAATTTTTTAATTGTACTTCATAATGTTTTATGTCATATTATAGGATAGAAAAAGAAAATTCACTAAAAAAATTGTATTAGGAGAAAAATCACACTCACCGAATAGGAAAGAGCGGATAAATACATGTTTATCGCTACTTTTCCATTAAACGTATCTTGGTGCTCGCGAAGAAATAATCTGTCTCGAAACTCGACATTTTAGCCTCAACCGAATTCTGTTGCTTGTCGTTGGTTTGTGGTCTTACCAACGATCGCTCATTGTTCAGTTTCAGTTACTTTTATTCTTTGGTACTCGGACAACTTTTATTATATTTCAAGTATATTAAGATTATAATTTTATTATTAAAGTAAAAATAAAATACGTTGTTGAATAGTGAATATTTTGACTTATATATAAAACATAACGAATTCAATTATATCTTTCAGATTTTTAATATAATTATATTATATAATATTTGTCTTTTTGAAATAAAACTATCGTGTACAATTATATTAAAATATTAATTACTTGCGCTTTTTACTATCTGACTGTATATAGTACCTAGTACAGTAATAGTGGAGTACAGTAATACAGTAGTACATAGTACAGTAATAGTGGAGCGAGCAAACTTACTAATTAAATTTACTAATTAAATTATCTATTGCTTTCTTAATACAGCTAATTCAGTAAAATATTTCTTGTACTTTACAACATTATTAACATCAAAATGTACTTTAAAACACATTCTCAAAATTTTCTCCACTACATTTTTTTTTATGTGCTTCGCGATCAAATATAATTCATTTTGGATTAACGCCGATACCGTAAGAACGTTATCAATCAAATATTATTATAGATAAATGGAATCTTCAAATATAAAATTGTCTAAGTTTTTATATTCTTTTTCGTATTCTTATCAGTTAGGATCAAGTTAACGTGGATGTTTTTTATTTTCTTTTAGATCTTTATGGCTTAATTCTTTATACTTTTTAATTAAAATATAAAAAAGATCTCTAAAGACAGAAAGAAACAGGTAATTTGGTCCTATCGATGAAGAATAACGAAAAATTAATAAAAAAAAACATTTAATTATATAATCATTTTCAAATTTTAATGAGAAGTATAATATCATTGATACGACAGGAGTTTACTGGAACAACTTCAAGATATACTAGTATATAAAGAATTAAAAGATGAAAATGGAATCGCTATTATAGAAAAATCTGGAAGCAATCAACTAAAGTAATCAACTAAAGTAGCTCTATTAAAGTAGTTCTATTAATATAAGTTAAGAATGAAATGTAAATTAGCTGAGCTAAAAAAAATAGAATAAAAAACAAAGAAAAAAACTGTTAAATTGATATTATATATTCATTTTGTGTGTTGCACTCAAGAATATAATATAATAAATTGTATAATAAATTAACTTTCTTTATTTATATAAATATATTATTGATTAATCTAGATAAATCGATAATTTAAATAAATATATTATCCTTCCATTATTTTAACAGATATTCTCCATACAGCTTCAACATACATATAGAATGAAACAGAAGAAGATACGTAATGTTTCATTACAGTTGATAGGTATTTCAATATCTTACTTCACTGTTCTCTATTCTACAAGTACGAAATAATAATTGCAAAATAATTAAGATAAGTATGTATAAAAATAAAAAAAAAATATTAGAAAGAAAGAGAGAGGGAGAGAAAAAGATAGAGAAATATAAACTAATTCGATGGAAATCGTTTAGCCCTCGATTTTAGGTGTCGCTTCCTGTAAGTAGTCGTTCCGACAAAAAATAAAAATCATTATTTAAATAAAAAAATTGACATATAAAATATTTATAAAGAAATATAAAAGTAAAAATTGACATTATATTAATAGGTCACAACATTGAAATATATGTATGTTAGAAGGGGGGCATCTGCGAAGTCTATTATCGCACGATTCCCTCGAATCGAGTATACATTTCTTTATGGAAAATAAACACCTGTTACATTATTGCTATAATCAAATCGATCGCTTAATCATACACCTTTTTCAGAAAAGTATGAATTACCATCACGTGTTTTTTGTATCTGACAATAATATTTCGTTCTGCATTGCATTTAAATTAAATTAAGCAATTCAATTTAAAATTTATATAAAAAAGTATTTCATTGTATTTCAAGCATGTTAATATTTTTAACTTCAATAATTCAATTAATTCGCATAATAAACAAAATATTAAGTTCCAATTTATAGCGATTTAAATAATGCAACGAAATATATTGGAAAGGACAATAGATTTTTTATATTATTGTAATCTTTTTATTTATGACGATCTAATGTTAGTATAATCAAAGATATAACATTATAATAACATAGATTATAATAAAAATATTAAAAAATTTAATTTAAAATAATGTCAATTTTTCTTTTGATTTTGTACCTACATTAATTGTATATATTTAGAAAAAGCGGTAACCTTTAAGAATTTTCTTACTAAGTAAAAGAAACACTAATTTTAATAATACGACGTATAACATTATTTTTTACAGTTTAAAATATTTATGACTCTGAAAAAATCAGATTTACTTAACAACGTTTCCTTTTTGTATTATTATTATACATTCTATTTACAATAAAATACATTTCATTTAGTATTAACATTAAAATTGTATTAATAAAATATGTATTTATATATATTATTAGTGGGCCATACAAAAAGTCCCGGAAATAATTTATAACACAGAAAATAATAATTAATTTTACAATACAGGAATAACTAATTTTACCTATATTTATATAACACTTATTTTAAAGTAATTCTCTTAGGTAGCGCTACAAATTAACTTAATGTCTGAAAGCATTCCTAGAAATCACTTTTTGATACTTTTCAGTGTTCTTATCGCATTTGCAATTGATTTCCTCAATACTCAATATGAACCGATGTTCTTTCATGTAAATCGAAATCTTTCGTCGTATCAGAAATGTAGTAAAAAAGAAATGTTCAGAAAAACGGATGCACGAAACAGTTGGTTTCTTTTTTGCACGAAAGCACCTGCACATCGATCATTAAATGTCAAGTAGTATCTTGCCAGGTATAATGTCACGACTTTAGAGCATCCATCATGTAGGGTAACTTCGGTATACGCCGCACCTATCAAAACCTTAATTTATTATGTATTATTTACGTTTAAGTAAACGAACTATATTAGTAAAAACTTTGTATTGTCTACTACTATGAAAAAATTATTAAAAATCCGAAATATTTATTTTTCGTATTAAAAAATGAATTTTGTATATGAAATATGTATATGAAGTGATATATAATAATTACAATCTTCCTACATATAATAGTACAAGTGTTATGACATGAGGTACATATTTCATGTAACGCGTTTATTGCATTTAACCAGCTGTTTAGTGCACTGAATTCAATCTGCGTATTTTGTATGCTTTAGACATACCCAATCCCATCCGCTAAAAATGCCGTATGTTCCAAACAGGTGGGATATACAAGACAACAAACTAAACAAAGAATACAAGCACCTTGTATTTTGCTACACAACATGCTTTATTATTTCTCTACACGTATGTAAAATGAAATAACTATTAAGTCTTTTACGCGCCCTAGAGTAATTATTTTATATAGATTATAATTTATACAGGTGCTACTTATTGCAGTGAACGAAACGATTCAACTAATAATAATTTCATTAACAATAACAATAAAAAAATGAAATCATAACTCAATACTAATCTAATATAAAGATATGTAACAGAGTAGTTGCGGGAAAATTACCCCCTACTCCTTCTATTTTTTCTGTCTTCTGCGGCGTAAAACCCAGCGCGGTGTATTTGCTGAAATTATCCTATATTTCATTTTACTTTTTCCTATTTTCGCTAAAAGAAATTTTGAAAGATTTGCTAGCGCGAATATGAAGTCACTAAAAATGTGACAAAAGTATAGGGGAGACCGGGGCTAGTTGACTCATTTTTCAGTTTCGAATTTTTACAGACGAAATAAGAGACTTATCGGAAAAAATAAATTTTACACCAGTTACTATACATGCATTTGATTATCTAACAATATTTTAATAAGGGAAAATTAATAACTAATATGAAAAAAATGCATCTTTCTAATTCATTCCATCTGATTCAACTAGCCCCGAGATCGGAGTAAGATGACTAATGATACGGAGTAATTAGACACACTAAGATTATTAAAATGAAGATTAAATATTTTAAGCTACATCTTTGGCTACATATTAATAAAACATTTATAAAAATATATTTGAAACACAAACATTTGCTTTGCAGGGCAAACAAATACTTCTTTTTGTAATTCGTTTGTTTCGTGCAAAAATAGGATCGAAACGTTATTTGTTACATTATAAACTAATTAAATAAATTCTTTACACATGAATACCCAGTGTTTGGCACTTATAGGCATAATAATTCTTTCGTATATATAATAATTCTAAATACATATAATAAGAATTTATGAATTAATAATTATAAATCTTCAATAAGTAATAAATCTTCAATAAATAATATAGAAATGACGAACACTGTTTGTACATATTTGTAGATAAATGAAAATAACAATAATAATAATAATACAAAAATGTATTCTATTGAGTAGAGTAACATGGGGGGATCCCGTTTGCCTACAGTATCGTTTGCCTACATCACTTTTGCCGACAGTTCGTTTGCACACAAATAAAAATTTTAGAAACAAAGTTACTTTTGTTTACATGTATTATTGCCTACAGCTCGATTGCTTACATATATTATTGTCTATAGTTCGATTGCCTACAAGCACTTTTGTGTACAAATATAAAATTAAAGTTAAGTTAAAAAAATTTATATTTTTAAGAAATCTGTCATGTGAACAGTGGGGTGTCAGCGTAGTGTCCGCTTGGAATATTTTTCTAAAAAACATTTAACCCTAATCAACCCCCATTTTTTGGTGTGAGATGGCCCTCATTTCACGTGGAAGATTGTAAGTTGTAGGCAATAATGTATGTAGGCAATCGACCTGTAGGCAATAATATTTACATGTCTGGTGATCCATATTTGGACAAATAAGGCACCAAATTGTACCTTGTATTGTAAAGGTCAATTCTCATTGAAAATATTAATTATGCAAATTACAATTCAAAAACTAAATGCATCATATATTGATATATGCGATAAAATATTTCAAAAGTATCTTATAAAAAGAATATTAGAAAGAGAAAGACTTTAATTGCAGCTGATTAAGTCAGTACCTTACTTTACTGTTATCTATCATATTCTAGTAATGAAGCAAATGATTCAATAACAGTATGGTGAAAGTATAACTAATGCAATAGTACTCAGCTTAAAAAATAAAAAGATGATTTTTTGAAAATTTTGTACAGCGTCATATTTATAAAAAATTATTATAGAAGACATATATAGAAGAATAATATTATTGAAATTAAGATACTAGTATATCAAGTTCTTGTGATGCACTTAAATTGTGCATTTTTTATAATACTTTAAATAAAATAAAAAATGTATGTATTTATTTTACTTTTGCTGCAAGTACGATTTTTTGTGCACGTGTTGTTGAACATTAAATCATTATATTTTATTTCATATCAATTTTTATACAAATATTTTAAATTAGAGTTTCTGATAAACATATAATAAAATATAAACATACAGAGAATAAGAATAATATACGCTGCAATTAATTAATACATGAGTGATACACATTAGAAATTTACCTATAAGAAATGTAAAATAATATTTATTAAAATAATTTACCAAGCTAATATGAAATTAAATCTGCCTATTTATCTAATTCTAATTATTTTTAAATTATAATTTTACCAAGTAGTTCTAGTGTCGAAAAAGTTAAAGTTGAAGAATGTTTCTGCCAGCAAGTGTAGTCGATGAGGACGCTTATCAAAATAAAAATTTCGATACTAAAAACAAAGAAACGCTTGCGTGAACTTTTTGTAAATACACGAATCTTATAAGAAAAACCGACAGCTAATAACCTTCAAATTGTTATCGACAAATCAATCCAGTAAATATTCATAGATCTGAGAAATTTCTTTTTAAAGATATGATGGTCAAATATTTCCACCTTAAAAAGCAACGTAATTAAAATACTTTTTAAAACTTTTCTATTTCCATTTCAAACACTCTTTTGTATCATCAATTCTGAGAAAATTGACTAGATTGATTACGTAAATATTAATAATATCTATAAATTTTTTAAGTTTCAGTTTTTTAAGCCATACCTTACATATAGAATTATGCAGAAAACGTATTACAGAAAATGTATTCAAAAATAAAACTGTTTCTACGCTAAGAAAGAAGAATTATATTATCTTCGATTGAATCAGATTATCATCAGCAATTTGAAATGGTCAGTGATACTGAAGAAACAAGCACTTTCCTAAAAATAAAATGTATTTTATAAGTGCACAAATGTGAAGCGTATAAAATAGAGATATCAAAGGTGTTAAATAAGTTTGCGCAACTCTTCTACAGTTATCGCGCAAGTAAGTTTCTTAAGAATTTTTTTCTTTTTTATTATAATAAAGAGAACATCAGTAAAATTTCGGTATCATTTTATTCCATCAATTACTTAGTTAGTCATACATCGTATATTCCGAGAAACGCTATTAAAATGCAAGTGTTTCAATCTCACGGTAGTATCATGTGTTGTTTGGCATATACAAACGAAATTAAGCAAATTACAATAAAATCGACGTCAAAAGAAGGAAAGAATACTTGGTCGATATATGCAAGAAAGAGGGGATAAACACATTCTCTTCCTCCGCAGTCATATTTTGGAGCTCACAGAAAAATGATCTGCATTGAGACCGACTATTTTAGTCTTAATAAGACTCTTCTGCTCGCTATAGGATTGTGGCCATACAAACAATCAAAACTTATATGTCTTCAATTCATCTTTCTGCTCAGTGTTTTAATAAGCTCTATTTTATTTCAGGTAATATCTTAATATTATCATTATAAAACAAGTAATAATAAATTGATAGCCATTATTTGTTAAAATATTTATTAACACATATAATATATATGTTTAAATAATAATTTATATATTTAAAAAAGATTATTATATACTATTAATATTGTAATTATTTAGATATAAGGCCTCTACCTATATTATATATTTAAAAGTTATCAACTTTAAATCAATAGCATAAAATTATAATATATATCCAAAGAAATTATATTTTAATATAAGCTTGATAATACAATTATTGCTTTTAGTTAACCGCATTTTTAACTATCAAGGGTACTTCTGACCTCGTCATTAAGATTCTTTCTACTGCATTTTTCTTTACTATCTTTGTAATAAAATATATCTCGTTTGCTGTTAATATAAAAAATGTAAGTTGATTATGACAGACGATTACGTTCTGTTTGTGATATTTCTGAAAAATATATCTTTATAATCAGAAAAATTTGTCAAATATATAAACTAAATTGTTAAACTGACAGGTAAAGTATTTACTAACGGAACTTCAGTATATATACAACGATCTAAAAGATGAATATGAAAACGTTATTATAGAAAAGTATAGCTACATTGCCAAATGGTACACGGTTGTACTTACAAGTAATATAAATTTTTCATTGTACATCAATACATTTTCCATTCTAGACGTAAAGAGCAATTCAATATTTTTATATGAAAATTGTGTGATAATCTTTTCTAATTTTTTTTAGTACTTGCTGCTTGTAGCATAATTACTTTAATTGTTGCCCAATTTTGGATGAGTATCATTGGCAACACTTTATCGAAAAACGAATCTCAATCTCGTAATCTACTTATTACAATAGAATATTTTATCGATCAAGAAAAATATTTTTATTTAATCGTGTTGCATACATATGCAGCTATTAGCATAGGATGTATCGCGATAATAGCAGTAGGAGCGATGCTCGTAGCATATCTTCAACATATTTGTGGAATGCTTAGTATCACAAGGTACAAAACAAAAACAGACAAAATCTACAAAAATTCTAATTATAAATAAATATGTATAATTATTTTGGATGAATCTACAGATTTTACTTTCAAAACGCAAAAGAGATAAGTTATGTGATAAATGGATTCTTTATAGTTATCGTATTGAACGCGTGAGAATAAATATGCTTCAAAATTCCATAAAAAACGAAAATTTGATATTTAAAGGAATGATATATGCCATTGATATTCATCGACAAGCAATGAAGTTAGTATTTATATAGTGTAACATTCATATACAGGGTGTTAGTTTAACAAGTATGTTGTGTTCTAAACGGATTAGTTTCCGAAACACAGGTGAATAAAAAATATATGATCGCAAATGTTTGACGAAACGGTAAATTACGTTGGAGATATCTTCTGCATAAGTATGCCTTGCTTCACGTGAGTTACTATTCGCACAACCGTAAACAAAGTGACAAAGTCAAAGTCAAAATCTCCTAGGTCACCACACTTAAATCCTTTTTCCTTTGGAATTATTTCCTTTGGGGGTATCTGAAATCATTAGTTTATACCACCCCAATGAGAATGAGAATGATTTGAAGAATCGAATAGTTGCTTCATACGAGGTAATAAGTAACACACCTAATATCTTTGAGCGTGTACGTCAATCTTTGAGAAGAAGAATCGATGGATGTATCATGGCGAAAGGTGGACATTTTCAGCAATTCATTTAATTGTTTTATTTCATCAAAAGAACTGAAGCCTGTTTTTGTTTTTCTGTTTATGACTAGTTTTTGATTAGTTCTAGCTGTATTTCTTTCAAATGAACAAATTATTACTACAGGTTTAAATTTTTTTATTTCGGAAATTAAACCGTTTAGGACACATGTTTATATGGACTTTTTTACTTGAAATAAACCGAAGAATCGCTCTGTTAAGTATGGCAACATACTTAACTAACACCCTGTATAAATAATACAATAATATTTATTTGTGCTTGAAGATTATCTAAACTGATGGTATCTAAATTTGAGATAATGTTATTCTGCTTAATAGCAGTTGGAGTAATCTGTTTGAGCCTCAACCTCTTCCGAGTAAGTTTCAAACTTCTAAAAAAATTTGTACATTTACATGATATAATATTTGCAAATTTATAATTTACTGCTATAGAAAGTATGCTGTTTCAGAAATTTTTCTTCGGATTAAAAAGTTTTATAAATAAATTTTATTTTATAATTAGTAATATTTATATTAATAATATTTTTTTAATAGCAAACAACTTAGCATGTTCCATTAAGTATACAACTTAGAATTAACATTTAGTAAAATAGTGCATTATGTTATATCATGTGCAAATATTGTAATATTTACATAAAATTCATATATTAGATTTTTCAGATTGATATATACAAGGAAAACGTTAATGAATTTCTATTTCCTCTTATAATCGTAATAGCCAGTATTTTATACATGTTTATTGCCAATTATATTGGACAAGATATTATGGATCACACTAATCATATATTCGTTACTGCGTAAGAGTATTTCTTTTATATAATATTATTGTATACGGGGTGTTCTACTTTAATTTTCACATCAAAATATTTGTTTTGAATAGAACTAGAAACTCGATTCCACATACAAAACTTTATTGAATATATAATGTCGCATAAAAATATTAAGGTACAATTATCAAAAAATTAATAGTTTATAAGACATTTCTTATATTTTACGTCAAAATATGTCAGAAATATATATAAAATACCTCGTAAACTATTGACTTTTTAATATCTTTATTTTAGTACTTATATGCAATCTTATATAAGAATTGAGGAAATTATATTATATAAAAAATTCGAACAATTCCATTTAAAATAATGATCATGATCACATTCATCAAACTTAGAAAAATAAGTTTTTTCAAAAATTGGTTTTACTATTATTTGGCTCTCTTTACATTATACTTTAATCTAAAACATTTTTCCGTATCTCTAATATTTTTCGAAATATGTCGATGTAAAAGAATGAACACTCTGTATATATGTATATATGTGCGCGCACCCCCAATCAGCACACAATATTTTTAAAGAAACTTTTAAAAACATTTTTAAAACCGTTAAAAATAATGGGTTGTCATCTTTTTTTTTATAAAAAAATTTTTATTTAACGTTTAAAGAAATATTTCTTTTAACATTAAAAAAACATTTTTAAATGTTTTTTAATGTTTTTTTAATGTCAAAATTATTTGAACAAAATTAGAAAAAATAACAAAGTAGAATTTTTTTAGATTTTTTTTTTATCGACAGTATTTAAAACATTAAACAACTAATTTTATTAATATTTATTTTTAATTATATTTTAATCTTTTTCACTTACCGGTCGGATTTTTAATCTGAGATCTCAGAATTATGAGTCTCGTATTTTATCTGTCACGCCACTTATAACTATCGATGTACACAATTCTTATTGTCTATATATGATACACTTAACCCAATTATATTATGTTATCTTTTCTTCCGTGATTATTTTATTATTCTTATTTGATTTTTATTAATTTGATCTTTATAAAATAACATTTTTTTTCATATTTATAATAAACGTCAAATAAATATTATATTAAACAAATGTTTTTTAATCATATTTTAAATAAATAAATAATAAACTAACATTTATTAAACGTCATATAAACTTACAAAAAAAAAAAATTTAATAGACATTAAATAAATGTTCCCTTAAATCATTATTTCAAACAAATAATTAATGTGAAACAAAACATTTAGGGGACAGTTGATTATAGGGCTAAAAATAATCGAGGCTACATTAAACACAAAACACGCGAGACACGCGTAAATGTGCCTGAGCACGCAGCGGCGACTGTCGCTCAGTCTGCAACATCTTATTGCGAACATATCTATGATAGAAGTTATGCCTCAATTTTAAAAAAATCGTACACCTAAGTAAATATTTTTATTCTTAAAATTTTTGTTTTACAATCGTATATGATTGTCTGAGATATGTGATTTCTGCTTAGATAGTAAGTGTAATTCTTACTTAAAAATCCAACAGATTTTTTTTGTTTATATGTCTTTGTTATCGTATATTGTTAATGTTTTTAAAAAATGAACGAATGAGGATAGTAGACTAACCACACCATGGAACTGTATGACTCATTTAGTGACGATTCTTATAGTACTTATACAAAATTTTATTTCTTTAAAGAGATTTTCCTCAGTGGTAAATGTTATAAAATTAGTTCCCTTATATCCAATCTCAAAATCTAGGCTCATTTGACGTGTTTTTGTATGATATAAACAAATTTTGCAAAAAGAAGGATTGTTTTGTCCTGCGAAGCAATGTTTGTGTTTAAAATATATTTTTATAAAAATTTTATTAATATTTAGTCGAAGATGTAGTTAAAATACATTAATCTTTATTTTAGTAATCTTAGTCGTATTATCCTGGTCTAAATGAATCAGATAAAGCGCATTAAAAAAATGCATTTTTTTCATATTAGTTACTAGTTTCCTTTTATTATTAAAATATTATTAGATAGTCAAATGTATGTAGTAACTGGTGTAAAATTCATTTTTTCGATAAGTCTCTTAATTTCGTCTGTAAAAATTTAAAGCCGAAAAATGAGTCTATTAGCCTCGGTCTCCCCTACTAAACGTTAAATAAACATAAAATAAATATTTCTTATTACAACATTTTAAATGAATAAATAATGTAAAATTAACATTTTATAAATGTTAAACAAACATTTAAAAAATATTTCTTTAAATCTTTATTTCAAATGAATAATTAATATAAAATAAACATTCAATTAACACATTAAATAAACGTTCAAAAAATGTTTTTCCAAACTATTATTTCAAATAAATATTTAATGTTAAATAAACATT